GATAAGGGGCTTCTTAGTGCATTATTAGTGCAGAGGACCTGCACACCTTGAGCAGTTCACACACAAACATCATTTTCCCTGGGAGATCTGCTGTTTAATTAATCACTTAATTCCTGCTCTGCATTCTGAGTGTCACAGCACTGCCACAATCACCTCTCTACCCACTGTCGTTTGATTCTATGATCATGGTGGAGCGTGGGTGCAATAGAGAAGGAGGTGTGGGGGCTGAGAACCATTTCTAAATTTGCAGTGGGTTTAGAAAAGGAGGAACTTCACATATAACAGATTCCACATCAAAACATTCTACGGTGACATTTATTCTCTCCCCTTTTTCATTCCCCATGCTCAAAGGAGCTTTGAGTTGTTTTCAGAAATACAAAGGGGAAGTGATATACAAGCATGTGTGCATGCAGAGAAAGAACAGTTTCACTGCCCTAAGGAGCTGACAGATTGTGCTTCTGTTGTCATATACAGTGGGGGAAATAAGTATTTGGCCCCTTGCTAATTTTGCAGGTTTGCCCACTTACAAAGAATGCAAAGATCTATAATTTTAATCGTATGTGTATTCTAACAGTGAGAGACAGAAGCCCAAAAAGAATTCCAGAAATTCACATCATATGAATTTATAAAAATTGATAACCATCTGATGAGGAAAAACAAGTCAAGTGTAGCCTTATAATCTACACTGCTATACATCTAAACTCCACAGCATAGCATTTTCTTTTTGGTCACACTTTGTGTCCTTTACTAAAGTCTTTAAGGTTTTCATATTTTCAGCATTGGAGAAGCAACGTTCTGTTGTCATCTGGCCTTCTTGTGGCCATAGATGCCAGCCATAGATTACTTTTACACTGTGCTTCCCTGACTGATATTGCAGCCTCCACAAACACAGGTTGGGTGTTGAGATGGCATTTTAAGCTCTTATAAGAGTATACATAAACTCTTATATGCAGTCAGTGCAAATAATGTGTGAACTGCTTGTGTATTAAAACAACTAAAAGTGGATGGACAGTTGAATTATTGGATCTAACATCGCACACTTTCAAATTTTTAAATCTGGTTATTCTTCAGAAACTAAGGCAATTAAAAAGTTTTTAAAAAGATAGAGAAGGCCAACAATGCCTACTAAAACCCTTTATTGGACAAAATGTATAAATGTCTGAAGCAAATAGCCCATTCCTGTTTCCATCTGTTCCAGATTGCACTTGCACTAAAAACCTTAATCTTTATCTGCCTCAGGACCTAAAATGTCCATTACAGCCAATTAGAGCTGAGAAAGAGGTGATTTGTCTTCATCAAACTTCAGCTTCAACAGTAGTAATGACATTGCTCTAACCTTCTGATTATTACAGGGGATGGTGCTAGTTTTGATGTGAAAATATATCTACAAATTAGTCTATTAAAAATGTGAGCAATCCTGTACTTCCATACTCACATTTCCCTTTAACTAGCTGTCTAACATTGTCAACATAAAAAATAATTTTATAATTTCAGTACGCTAACACATTAAGAGAACTAGGGTCACAGCTTAGGATTTATTTGTTGTGCTTTTGACTTGTCGGATAGAGGCTGTTCTTCTAAGCGTTACAATCAATTTTATTAGATTTCTGTAGCAACGGTTTCATCACAATTATCTCCAAATTGAACCACAACAGAATTTGGGTAAACAGCTCTTCAAACAATTGCAATTAAGGCAGAATAATCTTAGGAGCAATAAATACAGACTCAACGAATAATTCAAAGCTTCAGACAAACAGTTGTAAAAATGGCAAAGCATTCCATGTACGGACTTATGCGTGTAATGCTAGCAACAAAGCTAGTAGACGTTACATTTACAGCAAGTTGTTTATACCTTGATAAACTTGTGCCCATTAAATGGTGACCTACCTTTAGCCAGTCTTATGGTCAAATTCTGACTTTTGTCATGAATGACTAAATTATTTGAATTTTAGGTGAACCTGGAATTAAGCAGTCTATGAGGAAACAACAACTTGGAAACGATTTGTTTTATTTGACAAAGGTAAAGGTAGGTATGGACACTGTTAATAAAAAGTGTTTTTTTATAATGTTAGGGAGTGTGAAGAAATATTTAAAAATAAAGTGATGATGGTTTGTGTAGGTTCTCAGTCACCCAGGTCATTTAATCCAATAATAATAATAATAATAATAATAATAATAATAATAATAATAATAATAATAATAATAATAATAATAAATAGTTACATCGAAAGCAACTGGACAAAGTAGGTTTTTGTTTTTTAAGATGATTCACATTTCATCCAAGAGGCTTCTTCAGTTCTTCAGAACATCCTTCATAGTTCTTCAGAACTTTGTCCAGGTGCTTTCTATGTAACTATTTTTTTAGATAAAGTGATGATGTCATGTTTAAATTAACGTACAACAACAAAATACCAGTTGTGTCTTATGTTCAATGAATTATGAACACTCAAGCACATTACAACGGACATCCTTCACAGTTTGTAATCCTTGGAAACCACAAATTGCATATCTGCTATAGTGCCCATTTATCTACAACATGGATTTGTAGCCATTTGTAGTCACACACTACCTTCCCAACACTAGGAAGGTCTAAGCCTGACCAAATGACTAAATCGCTCGTATAAAGAGCATGTTTTAGGTCAACCTAGTTTTGGTTATTCTTATTTAGGCTTTAAATTTTGCCCAAGAAAGTCTCCTGAATTAGTTGTATGAGAGCTGCTGTATATCAGGTTATTGTACTGATAACAAAAATGAAACAACTAGGGGAAAGTCAAGGCCACTACAGAAGATGTCAAGCAACATCTGTTCAAATGGACTAAAATTAAAGCCATTACCTTCCAGGTGGGCCCCAGAGGTCCTCTGCCTGTCTTAACAGACTTGAACTTGGCTGGATCTGCGTCTGGCTTGTAGTCCTATAGTCATAAGAATTGTATGTGATGAAAACAACACATGCAGGATATTACACTATATTACCAAAAGTATTCGCTCACCTATTCAAATGATCAGAATCAGGTGTCCTAATCCCTTGGCCTGGCCACAGGTGTATAAAATCAAGCAAGTCGCCGACTTTCTGCACAGTCAATTGCTACAGAGCTACAAACTTCATGTGACCTTCAGATTAGCCCAAGTACAGTACGCAGAGAGCTTCATGGAATGGGTTTCCATGGCCGAGCAGCTGCAGCCAAGCCACACATCACCAAGTGCAATGCAAAGCGTCGGATGCAATGGTGTAAAGCACGCCGCCACTGGCCTCTAGAGCAGTGGAGACGCGTTCTCTGGAGTGATGAATCACGCTTTTCCATCTGGCAATCTGATGGACGAGTCTGGGTTTGGAGGTTGCCAGGAGAACGGTACATTTCAGACTGCATTGTGCCGACTGTGAAATTTGGTGGAGGAGGAATTATGGTGTGGGGTTGTTTTTCAGGAGCTGGGCTTGGCCCCTTAGTTCCAGTGAAAGGAACTTTGAATGCTTCAGGATACCAAAACATTTTGGACAATTCCATGCTCCCAACCTTGTGGGAACAGTTTGGAGCGGGCCCCTTCCTCTTCCAACATGACTGTGCACCAGTGCACAAAGCAAGGTCCATAAAGACATGGATGACAGAGTCTGGTGTGGATGAACTTGACTGGCCTGCACAGAGTCCTGACCTGAACCCGATAGAACACCTTTGGGATGAATTAGAGCGGAGACTGAGAGCCAGGCCTTCTCGACCAACATCAGTGTGTGACCTCACCAATGCGCTTTTGGAAGAATGGTCAAAAATTCCTATAAACACTCTCCTCAACCTTGTGGACAGTCTTCCCAGAAGAGTTGAAGCTGTAATAGCTGCAAAAGGTGGACCGACATCATATTGAACTCTGGGTTAGGAATGGGATGGCACTTCAGTTCATAGTATGAGTCAAGGCAGGTGAGCGAATACTTTTGGTAATATAGTGTAGCTCCTGTTGGTGGAGAATCCTTGTTTGAAACAGTCTTTACCAATCAATCAGTGCTCAGAAGTTACGCGAGAACACCACATGACTGTAAAGGGTTAAGGTACTGACCATTGAAGTTTGTGTGTAAAAAAACTGTATTTAAGCTTTGAGCACTGAGGAGTTCCTCAGTGCCGTTCTGAATGTAACCATTGTTCTGCACTCCTTGCTGAAAGTAAAACTTTTAAAACTTTGAGATCTCGTATTTGATTCTTTATTTGATCAGATCTTTATTTGATCTTTATTTGAAATTATTTGTGTGTTAGGAAACTGGGGTATGAACTAACAGCATTTTTTACAGTCCTAACTAATAGAAAAAGTTTCCTGACAGTATGCATAACTTGTAAGTGTCTGGACCATTAGTCCAATGGATGATGAATTTACATCAGTCTAAGCTACACCTATATTAGCAGCAAGGCGATTAATATTAGCTCTGGTAGAGTCCTTAGTCCACAAGTTCAAATATTCCGAAACAAATATCCACAGGCTGTTAAGGGGGCAACTTCGTCTAATTGGTGGGGAATACAGGGAATTTCGGAACTTTCATTCCGGTTTCACAACGCGTATTCAAAATAAGAGCCATTAGTACACTCGCGATACCCCACACATGCACAAGTTTACTGAAACACTTGCACATAGGAAAGCAACAAATATTAGCCATACTTTAGTTAAACGCAAATTGTGTGCATAAACGAGGAACACCACCACTTATTTTGAAACTTTACGTGGTAGAGGTCAAAGTTAATGAAACTACCTTGACAGTGCCACAGCAACACAGATAAATAGTTAAAAATAAGAAATACTCAACTGTTAAACAACTCTTACTCAGAAAACACAAACAGTCTTTTGTCAAGATGACTGTTGCTACTTTATCAATATTCGTTTAGTTTATTCTCGGGTAAATAATTTTGCTCTGTTTCTGTTGCCACTCTGGGCTTCAGGAGGCTAATGCTAAAGTTGGGCTAAGACTCTTAGCATAGCCGGAGAAGAAACGAGAAGCAGCGTAAAGTACACCAAAAGAATCATACCTGTGTTTGCCCCCTAATTCTCCGTCTTAGATAGATTGATCGAAGGTCATGTAAACATCCATCCGAGATCGTGAACAGTTCCCTCAACTAGAAACGAGGACTGTGAGCATCGGTCTTATATGTCAGCTCCTCTCCTCTCTGTTGTTGGTAGTGATGTGCGGATCGATCCTGAAATATCGATACTTCCGATTCTGGATCTTTATGCTCTGAAATCGATTCTGAAATCAAAATATCGATACTTTTGATACTTACGCATTCTGAGATGAGGTGTATCCTAAACAGAAACATGGTGAAAAGTATCCAAATTATTGAGATGTTGTCTAAGTGACGCTCGGTTGGTGGGACTACTTCTTCTTCCGCCTGGGTGTGTGCGTCATGCGTAAGCACAGGGGCTCTACTCCGTGCTCTCACTCAGTCACTATTGATGGGAATTTCGGCTCTTTTTTGGAGAACCGGTTCTTTTGGCTCGGTTCACTGAAAAAATCCGACTCTTTCGGGTCCCAAATGGCTCCTCAGATTATTTATTTTATTTTTTTATTTATTTTTGTTTTACAAATAACATGTTTTCAGAGTTTGAAACATTGTTTTGACATATTTTATATGATTGTGTTCTCAAGGTTTTCTATTGTTGTGTTGACTGTATAGTAAATGAGGCAGCTACCTCAGTACACTCCAGAGTTTAAAATAAATAAATAAATAAAAACCTCAGCCTCGGATTCTTAAAGAAGCTATGATTTGAAATACACATGTTTTATTTAAAAGACAAATGATAAAATATCGATAACGGTATATGCGATACCAGCCCGAATTTTACTCGGTATCGGATCGGAAAGGAAATTGGTGGTATCGAACATCACTACTGTTAAGTTTCTGCACCAGGAGCAGTAGCTTGGTCAGTCCCTGCCTGCGCCCTCTGCGGGCTAATACCAGCTATAACAACTATTCATTGTCATTATTTTACTCACCGTCCCCCTTTTTTCGTCTCCAATATCATCATCACCGCCTTGTTTCTTATCATTATTAATTTAACCTTCATCTTCAGTATTTCCACCAACATCAGAACACAGTCATCTGTCTCCAGCATTGTTTTATATATTCTTAAACTGAAAAATGTATGGGTTCCTTATTCTGGCGACCCATAAAAGAAGGGGGAAAACAGGACAGAACAGTTTTCATGAGCATAATTAAACAATTCATAAGTAAGTTGAAAACCACACACACAAAACAGGAGACTGTTATCAATTTTTTATTTAACGGATAAGCGGACAAAAATGGATGGATGGATGGCATAGATACTGCACAGAACCCCTGGTCAATGCTTATCTTGGAATTTAATAAAACGAATTGCTTATTTTACACCAATCAACAGCACTAAAATATGGTCTGTGCTACCATGTGTAATGATCTGGCAAAAGAAAAAAATATTTTATAGCACTAAAACAATCCTACAGCGTACGTGGATGATGAACCCAGTTTGTAACTGTGGAATGTGGAAAAGAGTAAATATTTGTGCTTTTTTCTACTTTAAAGTAACATTTGGTACCTTAGAACATGTGCAAGTGTTCGTCCGTCTACAGCAGTGTGCCCTGGTGCTGGAAAGGTACACAACATAAAAACACTGAAGGGAAAGTTAGAGTATTTTTCGGACCATAAGGCGCAATATCAATGAACGGGTCTATTTTCAGCGAAACAATCAAGCATGTCCGGATCCCTCTCGTCATTATCCGAGTCAGTCTCGTTGTTGTTAATTAGGGGTTCAGTAATGATTCCAGCCTTCGTGAAACATTTGAGACTGATGCATTAGCCCAGGCATCCACGATCCATTACCAGGGAGTGGCGTAACTCGCCAGGCGTTGCCTCCCTGTCTTGGTGAATGTGTGTTCGCCTTCTGTCATCCAATGCTCCCACGCAGCTCGCAATTTAACTTTGAACGCCCTGTTAACACCAATATTTAGCTGTTGGAATTCTTTGGTCAATCCACCCGGAATGATGGCAAGCCCCGAATTAGTTTGCTTCACTTGGGTTTTGACAATATCGGTGAGAAGGGCGCGCATGGAGTCACAGATCAATAGGGACGGAGATTTGTGGAAAAGGGTAGTGACCTAAATTGGACACAGGAGGGCAATGCTGTTTTTGTACGCCCCTCCAGAGTCAGGAGGTTGTCACTATTTTTGTTTTGGATGGTCACCGTATTGTTATTTTGACGCTGTTCCGTGCGGAATTGCGGATGTAGTTTTGCAGAGAGAGAAAAAAAGGAGAAATAAAAAGAGTTTTTGACCACAAAAAGTCCTCCTGCATCGCACCATACATCGACAATACAAAAACACAACGCAGTCTTCGGATGTTGGGAGGCACCACGCGACATTGCACGGATTTGCCATACTATAATAAGTGTTGTTGAGCATCTTCTAATTGTGACAAAGTGGCACCCAGTGTGCTTCAGTTGTGTGCCATCATGTGTGATGCGCTGTGTGGTTTGGCTTTATAAAATCGGTTCGAGGACTGCAAGCACAACCAGAAGTAATATATAAGGTGCACCAGATTATAAGGCAAACTGTCGATTTTTGAGAAAATTAAAGG